GGATGGTTGGGAGGGGGTTGCATTCCACACATGGTATTGGGGCCATGCAGTTGCTGTGAAAAGCTGGGTAGTAACTTTTACTTTTCCTTCAGTAATTAGCCCTTCCCAGAAACAAATATTGCTTAAACTGACAACCACCCACCAAAATCTCCTATACTGATGGGCACTCACAGCTGTTCCAGACTGATAGCGACATTATATGCGATCTCCAACACTGGCAATGAACTTTGGGCTGTCACATTTTTCTTCCCCTATAATAATGGCCACCTGCATCCCTCCCTTCCAGATTGTCAATCACGCCTTCCAACGCCCACAGACAGACGTCATCCCCACCAAGAATGAGCCTCCTAGACTGACAATTCTATCCCACAAATCCCTGGAATAATGGAAAACCACAAAGATCATCCAATATTATCCAATTAATTAATATATTCCAAATGTATTCAATGCACTAATACACAAAAACTTTTCTTTTCTATAATATTTATGAACAGGCACACATCTGCGTCAGGCTTTATAATTTTTTTGATTACTGTTTGGACTTTATTAAACACCTAATTGCCCCATTCATATAACAACAAATGGGATCCAATAAAAAGAGAATGAGGGTACCAAATAACTGATTTGAAGTCCATTAGCTGAAAATGCCTAGAGCAGCAGCTGACATACAGCCAAAATAATGAACCTGGCTTATCAATTATGAGATAATAATTTGCATGCACCTTTTGCTGGAAGCATATTCCTGACATCATGACTATTCTCCTTGCATATTTTGTACAATAATGTTTTTCTGCACAAACAGACGCATTGAAGATCTTTTAAATGCCATATATTCATTTTAACTTCTTCTACAATCTGTTCCCTGCAAAGTGTAAAAGCTGCATTTCTAGACGCCATCCATGATTAATAGTAAGATTAATATTTGGGTAATAAAAATTGCCTATTTGTATTGTGTACCAAGAGAGATACAGGAGTTTATTTAATAAAGAAATGTAGACTTTATTTAGCAATATAAATGTTCACTTAGATAAGTAAATGAGGTGAAGCTGTGTTTACACTGAATATTTAATTATGTGCAAGGAAAATTAATAAATAAGGATTTTTGCTGGAACCTGAGTGGATGATTTAATACCGTAGTCATTAAGCTAAGTGAACATTCACATAAATTAACCCCAAAGGCTGTCTTGTCACTAGCTAGTGATGTGTATGTGGCATGATGCCAATTTCAAAAAGCAAAGATGCCACTGGATGTCTTGATGGACTGGGTATAATTTTAGCCGGTAAAATGGCTGCTGTAAACCAATTCATAAAATATGTAAAGTGGATGCAGAAATTCTTGGACTGTATGATAAAAAATCACGTTTTCCATATCTGTTCTACACATATTGTTATGATATATAAACTGCTAAATGACTTGCATTTGTATGCCTGGTGTTTATGCTGGTCAGGCAGTTTTACTTTTACCAAAGGCCAATATTTCTTTAAACTCTCAAAATGAGAATGCACAATTTTGTGATTTGCCAATATATGTGGAATTAATTAGGAGCCACTGAGCTGTAATGCTCCAGTTTCAAGCCGCAAATAAAATTTGCCCCAGAATTACTGGCTTTCCTTCCCAGAAAAGGATTATAGTTTACTTGTATTACCCTATAAGCCTCCCTAATAGATACATTGGGGCTCAATAAGTATGATTCTTTTGACTTGCTTTCCTGGAATGCATGTATGTACAGCATACAAATCACATATTACAGATATATTTGAAGTTTACAAAATAAATTTGCCTTCAGAATTATGGAAAAGCAGTAATAAATTAAAAGCTGTAAAAGTTTGCTTTTACATGTAAGCATTACAAGAATGTATTATAACTCTGGAAGCTGTACCCAAAATAGGCAAGCAGAGGGAAAAAAACTAGTTGCCAGCATTGTCTCTTGGCTGTCTGCAGCAGATCATTTTGCTATCAGCTTCCCATCCGCCCTATAGCAGAAGTACTGCTACAGGGTGGTACGGTGCGCAAAATCACGTATATATATGTCCTTATGCATTTCGAGGCTTCAGCTGTCAATTGCCGGGTCCCAGCCGGTAATTACTCGCCAGCGCCAGGTGATTGCCACGTATCTCCAATGGGGAGAGAACTGTTTGTAAACAAAACAGTTCTCTCCCCTGTCAGCTCCTGCACACTGCTTTGCATGGCTGTGCATAGCACAGCCATGCAGAGCAGTGTGCTTACAGTGAAGCAGAAACAGCCCAGTAGGCAAAACAGCACACAGCACACAGTTAACCCTTTGATCGCTCCACATGTTAACTCCTTCCTGCCTAGTGCCTTTAGTACAGTGTCAGTGCTTTTTTTTAGCACTGATCACAATACAGTGATCAATGCTAATAAAAAGCACTGACACTGTACTAAAGGCACAGGAAGGGGTTAACATCTGGGGCTCTCAAAGGGTTAGCTGTGTGCTGTTTTACTATGAGGCTGTGTGCTGTGTTTCACTATGCAGAGCCATACAAAGCAGTGTGCAGGAGCTGACAGGGGAGAGATCTGTGTTGTTTATACACAGGTCTCTCCCCCGTCAGTGATACTCAGCAGAGAACGGCAACGCGGGTAGGGCAAGCACGGCCCCCCTACCCAGAAATGCGAAATCATGTATATATATATACGTGATTTTGTGCACCCATGCCACCTTGTAGCAGTATTTCTGCTATAGGGTGGCATGGAAACAGTAACAAAAACTGTGGGAGACTATGGCGATTGCTAATAGTCAAAGTATTTGCCATGTACAAAAGTATACCGTACATCAGCGTGTCATTCAGCTATTGCTAAGCAGCAGCTAGTTAGTGATGAAAAGTAAGAGGAGCCAGAAGAAAAACTCATTGGTTATGTAACAGCACAGACACAGCAAAGAGTCACAGTTTCCCTGCCAACATAAACATTTTTTACAGGTGAAACATTATGTCATATTATGGTCCTCTTGTGATGTGCTTGAATGTTTAAATACTTAATTAAGTGAATGTGCTAGTCTGCAAGGGTCATGCTATCTTAAAATTCCTTAGCAATTATAATAGGAAAGCTAGTACCATATAACTGAAATACTGCAAAATATGTTTGGTAACGTGTTCATGTTACGGCAATACAATTTAAAGATGAAGAATCAAATCCTGTATATATAGAGCCTGAACTATGATTGGTTGCTAGACGCTGTACCGAGTGATACTCACGTTTAGAGCCATATGTGATCAGGGATGTATGCCCCAAATGCAGAATTCAGAGGGGTTGGGATACAACACCTATGCCTCTGGAGTGGCTGAAAATGACAAGATTGAGGATTCACACCACTGTGTGCATGTAGTCTTACAGTAGCCTTCTCTGGGAGCAACTAAGTAGATTTTCATATGGTGTATTTCATGATAAAATATATTGGTGCTGCTCATTTTCTCAGTTGCTTATTTGAAGTGTCAGCATTGATCAAATTTATTACTAGTAATTTCAGAATGAAGCTTTCTGAGCAAAGATGGGACATAGCTGAGTCCATAACTCAAACGTGATCTCACAGTTCAGCATATGTTCCAGCTGCCACGGTGTTATTTTCTTTGTTACTTTGCCTATTTTGCTATTTTCTGAAATAGTAAGATTATGCTAGTCAGCGAGTCATTCATTTGCAGCTTCCTGTCCATAGGGTCCATTGTTTTGCTTCCTTTACCATTACAGATTAGCTAGGAGTCAGCAGGGCATTCCATGCATGCATCCACATCACCATTTACTAAAATCTTCAACTATTTGCCCTTCCATTTTAATTAATTTGGGACTACTAAAGCATTTATCTCTAGATGGTAATCTGTGGCCAATTTACACAGTGACATCTGAACAAGTGTACTTTCTTTGCAAGGTTTCAACTTTTGCTGGTCCAGCTGTTTCAATTATGTGAGGCTACAGAAAGTTTCCTTCCAGCAAATCATAATACCTCTGTCAGGAGAGAAGTATGGGGACTGCCATTGCAGGCCTCCGTCTAAAAATCATAGATGCCTGGTAGTGACTGACTTCACTATGTTTCAGTCAGAGTTCCTAAACAAGCTTGCTGTTGTAAATGACCTTCCCTGATGCCGTCCAATTGATAAAACGCGTAGGGCGGAGCATCTTACATCACTTCAGCTTTGTCATTTCCGGTGGAAGGAATGCAGGAAGCATTTCACAAGCTGCTAGTACTTCTTCATTGCTCGAGCATTGTGATTTTTATGTGAATGTAAGTGCAATGCTATTTGTTATGATATTTTAATTATGCAGTATTACATTATACTTTGCCACCTTTCCTAATCCTGTCTGAGCACTACTCCCTGGAGAGGAGAAAGAGGGGGTATGCTAACCTGGTGTGTACAGCGGCTGGAGATCCAACATTAAAGGAGCTTATTAGAGGAAAAGGACCCACTTAATAGCTTAAGGGGTCACATATTTTCAGTAAGTGAGTGTGATTCTGGGGAAGCTCAATTGTGATCACCAATGATATAAGAATTACCACTTACACTTTTTTGGACTTTAATATATGGAACTTTTTTGCACATATGTTTATCTTGTTATATACTGTATAAGGACTTCACTTAATAAGGATGTGTACATACTGGATTTTATCTAAAAAGGGATAGGTTTTAAGATACTAAAATGACAGCCAGGGAACTAGCCTTCTCCAAGCACGGCAGCCTCCATTAATGTCACAATCACTTTGGCATAAATCTTCCCATAAGATTATATGTAATTTTAATGTATTTTACATATGTTATTTTCTCATGAAAGCCTTTCTTATGTAGACATCCAAAAGTCCTGAGACTACTGCTGTGTCCTGCCATTTTGAACATGATGTCAACAGCCCCAGTAGATTTAGAGCTGTCACTCAAATATTCCCTTTCGCTTCTTTCCCGGCACTTAGTACCATATTTTGCGCTCCATAAGACACACCTGACCATAAGATGGTTTTAGAGGAGGAAAACAATAAAAAAAAAATTCTGAACCAATTGACTGCAGACATAGTACAGGAAATGACCAGAGACTACGAACATAGTACAGGAGATGACCAGAGACTGCAGACATAGTACAGGAGATGACCAGAGACTGCAGACACAGTACAGGAGATGACCAGAGACTGCGGACACAGTACAGGAGATGACCAGAGACTGCAGACATAGTACAGGAGATGACCAGAGACTGCGGACATAGTACAGGAGATGACCAGAGACTGCGGACACAGTACAGGAGAAGACCAGAGACTGCGGACATAGTACAGGAAATGACCAGAGACTACGAACATAGTACAGGAGATGACCAGAGACTGCAGACATAGTACAGGAGATGACCAGAGACTGCGGACATAGTACAGGAGATGACCAGAGACTGCGGACATAGTACAGGAGATGACCAGAGACTGCGGACATAGTACAGGAGATGACCAGAGACTGCGGACACAGTACAGGAGAAGACCAGAGACTGCGGACATAGTACAGGAGATGACCAGAGACTGCAGACCTTTGGGGAGCGGAAGGGGGAGGAGCAGGTTCTGCTGCACAGAAGAGCCAAGCGGCGAGCCCAGTATTCTAACACGGTGGCAACGGGAATACCGGGCCGGTCGCTCCATATTCGCTCCATAAGACACACAGAAATTTTCCCCAAAAAAATATGGTAAATGGTTATGTAGAGAGGTGAATGGCTGGAGGAGCCTAGCCAGCACAGAGAGTATTAAAAAACTAGTAGAAGAGACGAGGATTATGATGTGCAAGGAGGGAAGTAGCTGTGATAGGGAAGTGACTCCTCCTCTCAACATTAACAATTATTAATCCTTATGCTGCTAGCATTAGTAAATTGATAGAAAGGTATATTATATATACAGTTGTGGCCAAAATTATTCAACCCCCAATGCTGTAAAGGGGTTTAGGGACTATAGTGTACATTTGGAATTGTATTCAGAATCAAATCCTACAAGGACGTTGTAACTACCCAAATGCAACTAAAATGACATCAATTGTTTATGTAATACAGTAGTAAATGGTTTTTATGTGGTTTCTTCATTGCCACAATTATTCAACCCCTTAAAGACTACCACTCTGAAGAACAGAAGGTTCATACAGGTGCTTTCCATCAGGTATTGAAAACACCTGTGGATGTCACCGAGCAGCAATCAAGCATAATAAGCACCAATTAGGCAGCTTTAAAATGACTGTGATACTCAGCTCCTTCTAGACATTTACTGGTGTGGTTACAAACATGGTGAAGGCAAGAGAATGGTCCAGGAAGACAAGAGAAGAGGTGATTTCTCTTCACAGGAAGGGCAATGGCTATAAGAAGATTGCAAAGATGTTAAACATACCAAGAGACACCTTAGGAAGCATCATTCGCAAATTCAAGGCAAAGGGGCTGTTGAAACGCTACCTGGTCGTGGCAGAAAGAAGATGCTGACTTCGACTGCTGTGCGCTACCTGAAGCGTAGAGTGGAGAGAAGTCCCCGTGTGACTGCTGAGGAACTGAGAAAAGATTTGTCAGATGTGGGTACAGAAGTTTCAGCCCAGACAATAAGACGCACACTGCGTAATGAAGGCCTCCGTGCCAGAACTCCCAGGCGTACCCCCTTGCTGTCTCCAAAGAATAAGAAGAGTCGACTGCAGTATGCCAAAAGCCATGTGGACAAACCACAAAAGTTGTGGGATAGTGTTCTGTGGACTGATGAAACAAAATTAGAACTGTTTGGGCCCATGGATCAACGCTATGTTTGGAGGAGGAAGAACAAGGCCTATGATGAAAAGAACACCTTGCCTACTGTGAAGCATGGTGGGGGGTCAATCATGCTTTGGGGCTGTTTTGCTTCTGCAGGTACAGGGAAGCTTCAGCGTGTGCAAGGTACCATGAATTCTCTTCAGTACCAGGAGATATTGGATGGAAACGTGATGCAGTCCGTCACACACCTGAGGCTTGGGAGACGTTGGACCTTTCAACAGGACAATGATCCCAAGCATACCTCCAAGTCCACTAGAGCATGGTTGCAGAGGAAAGGCTGGAACATTTTGGAGTGGCCATCGCAGTCACCAGACTTAAATCCGATTGAGAACCTCTGGTGGGACTTAAAGAAAGCAGTTGCAGTGCGCAAGCCTAAGAATGTGACTGAACTGGAGGCCTTTGCCCATGAAGAATGGGCGAAGATACCCGTAGATCGCTGCAAGACACTTGTGTCAAGCTATGCTTCACGTTTAAAAGCTGTTATAACTGTAAAAGGATGCTGTACTAAGTACTAAGATTGAATGTCACTTGGGGGTTGAATAAAACTGATAATGCTGTGAGCACAGAAAAGACATTTGTGGTTATTTCATTATAACTGTTATGTTATATTTGTCTGACCTACAAGTGCCTCTTTAATGTAAATGTAAGCAAGATGACTGAATGATCAAAAGCAATGTCAAACTGGCCAAAACACTCAATTTCAGTGGGGGTTGAATAATTTTGGCCACAACTGTATTATATAATTTATATAATGATGTATATTATACATATGATACTTGTTTTAAACTTTATTGTTTTATTATTTTAGTTGCCTCCTGGTTTTTGGCCTAGGCCAAAATAATGTCATACATCCAGGGGGTCTTCATGGGCATTTTTTTTTCATCTGGAGGAGGGGAGTTCGGGCTTTCTCAGCTAAGCACACCCTCCTGCCTGCATGCCTGAGCTAACAGCAGATGGATTCAAGGAAATAAATGTTACACAAAGCATCTGCCCTTACTCAAGCTGGCCGCAGCTAAAAATGCTGGGGGTATGTTTTCAAAGTGATTCCTCAATGGCTTTGTGAATTTGTTGTGAACAATAAAAATAAAATAGTGTTTTCAGTTTGTGGTGCTCAGCTAGTTAAGTTTTGCTTTACCTTACTTCAAAATGTTAGCAAAACATTCCATTTTTAGGTTTTATAAATGCAGTATAATGCAGCCTGAACATAAGGAACAGAAAATTAAAATCTCTATAGCCAAAGCAATGCTTTTATAAATGTCAACAAAATTTGCAGTAGTCTAAATAGAAGTGGAAAAGAACATGGCATTTGAGGATGTGGACCTGATCTTGCTGTATGTTCATTCTTGCAGCTCATTGTAATGTAAAAAAAGAACTGACAGTTTTACCTTTCAAGATCTGAAGTTGTCTGTTGGAGACACAATACAGACAGAAAATTGAAAAATCCCAGAATCAGATTGTAAGCCACTTTACCAGACGAAGTATTGAAGGAGGAACCCTGAACATCTCCTTAGAAAGTAAAGATATGCAAGGATACGCAGAATCACTTTAGTACAGGCTGAACATTGATCAAGCATACAAGCCATCTGAATTTTGTTTCCTGCAGTCAAGGACAACAAGGCATTATTCTAAATAGGCAGTTAAATGTACTGTATAGCAATAGTACGAATGCTAAGACGTGTCTCCCCTAAGCCTGGACTCACATATATGCGGTGCGGCAAATCGCATGTGATTCGTACAGGAACCGCACCACATTCCTGTGCAAATCACATGCGATTTGTGTACGGTGCAATTGGAGCCATACATTTTGTATGGCTCTAATCGCACCTGCGCCAAAAATGTGCAGAACCCTTTTTTCGGTCCGCACTAGAATCGGATCGCATGGGTATTCACACATATGTGATCCAATTCTGCACATCACATTGCATTTTCCGGTCCGCTTTCAGGGTGTTGTTAACTTAACACACACACCCGCAGCGGTTCGCATAAACAAGGTGCGATTCTAATGCGGTGTGAAATTCGTACTGAAAATGCTGCAAATTCCGCACCGCATCAGTGTGAACCAGGACTTAGAATACTATTTGCTCTAGACAGATATTCTTTCTGTATTGTGTGTCAGATTTGCCAGGATATTCGATTTACCTACACATAAAATCCATTTTATATATCACTGCAGCAATACTGCATATTTTAAATCACTGAGATCCAGCTTTTGTGTTTTTGCCAGCTTCAAAATCTTTCTCACAATTAAATCCATGGTTTTGCCCAGGGGAAATCTGGAAAGGATTGAACCTCCTCTATCTGTTAGAAAGGAAAGGAGTTAAAACCGTGCTCCACATTCTTGGCTCCAGTGATAATTATTCTGCATTGCCCTGACAATAGTCATAGTTCTGTCCTCATGCCTAGGGTAGGTAGATATCAGTCCTCCAGCTGTTGTGAAACCACAAGTCCTACCATACCTCTGCCTCTGGGGGTCATGCTTGTGGCTATTACGGTCTTGCAGTGCCTCATAAGACTTGTAGTTCCACTACATTTAGGGCTGATGTTTGCCTACTTCTGCTCTAGAGATAAGTGTGCTCCTCTATATATTTATTTCCTCTTAGTCGTACAACTTTAGGCTCGACTTCTCTTACTCCACCACATATCACTTTTTCTGAGATGTGATCACAGTCACTGAGTTCTCTACAATAGTAAAAGTTACTTATTTTAAGCTAGTCAGACAAGTTACCAAAAAAACATCTACCGTGCCCTCCCATTGATAAATGGCAGGAATTTCCTACACAGCAATTTTGAACATAGTCACCAAGCAGTTCCAAGGCTACCACTAGTCAGCACTAATAGTTTCTTCATTTGTCCCCAATTATCGCAAGCATTCATTTGCCCCCAGGCGCTGATCGCTTTTTTGCTTGCATAGCTCAGCCTGCTATGGAGACCAGTTGGTTTTGGATGGCAGGCTGTGATGAAAACCAAGCTTTAGTTGCCTTGGAGTTTCTAGCTAAACCGTTTCACACAACTGTAAATTAGGCTAGATGAGATGTTCTTTTTTAACGGACTGATCAAAAAAAAAAATGAACAAATTCCCCCATCCACACAAAGGAAGTGCATGGAAGAATCCTCCCGCTGTACTGTTGCCTTCTGAAATTCTTCAATATTTTGTTGGTCCCTACTGAACCAGCCCAAATTTGATCCATCTATGGCCAGCTTTAGTGCTGCGTAACCATCTCACCTCTTTGTTCCAGTAGGCATTGTTGGATTCATAGGCACCAGCTCTCCACGAGTAGCTTCACAATCTCCAAAAACCATAACTCACCATCATTGTTCAAAGTAGAAAACAGTTTTTTTTAAATATCCAGGAATATACAGAACAAAGGAAAATCTGGCTGAAATGTTTCGGCCATAACTGGTGTTAGTTATGATGGTTATGACCAAGGCTGGGTACAGATGTAAAGCATCAACCAGACTTTTTGTACTGTATGTTCCTGGATATTTAAAGCGGTAGTAAACTGCCCAAAATAATTCTAAAAAATATTCTTCCTGCAAGTTAAGAGCTTAATGTGCTAGTATGCATCGCATACTAGCACATTATGAAAGACTTACCTGAAAACAAACTCTTCCAGTGGAGCACTGTCACGGCTCCCCGAGGCTTCCATCTTCACCTGGTCTTCCTTCTAAGTTTGCGAGCTGCGGCCATCTGATTGGCCGAGCTACAATGTTGTCACGTCATCCATTGAGAGCGCAGTGCGCATGCACCGGTGACATCCCCGATGCTTAAAAACCTCCTAAATGGTGCATGTAACTCCCACATGGTATGATGTATGGCAGAAAGCTTATGTAAAGGTACAGCTTCCTCCTCCTT